ATTCAGTCATTAGATAGCTCATTCTATCAATTCTTTTTAAATCCAGGAATCTTATGCAAACCCTTCACAAAGACCAGCATTCTCCAACTCACTCTGTCCTGGGCCTTCTTTTCTAATTCCATCCAATTCTTGTTCATTTTTCTCTTGTCTATCTCCATTTCCCGGAGTATTGTGTTCTTTGGTCTTCCTCTCCTCCTTTGGCCTTGAGGATTCCATATGAGGGCTTGTCTTGTGATGCAGTTGGGTGCTTTCCTCAATGTGCGTCCTATCCACTTCCAGCGATTCTTCCTGATTTCTTCCTCCGCTGGGATCTGGTTTGTTCTTTCCCACAGTTGGTTGTTGCTAATAGTGTCCGGCCATCCTGCATATATAAATAAAGAGTTATTACTGATCATCTTTATCATTCCAATTCTTTACATACATCTATGTCAGTTGTTTAACACTATATCCTACCCCAATGCAAAACTTTCAATACATATAAATGGTTATAAGCAACTGATGAGAAACCATAAAATACGATGGATTCATATTCTTCTGCATTGATGTTAATTCCAGCTTTATTTAAACGGACAATTCCTATTCATTTATAATATCAGTTTATCATAAATCATTTTCATCCAGTGTTCTATTTATTTTATTTAAACACTTAAATATTAGTACGATGGGGCACCGGATACATATGCGTCACACAAATCACTTGATTTGTGTGAGGGCTGGGATACTGCCTAGGTCCCCAATCCAAAACAGATGGTTTCCTTAGGTAACCACAACACGAAACTTCGACCTGAAGGTCTAATCTACAAGATAGTGGAGCAACTTCACAAAATGCTGTCCCATGGTACCCGGTGATCAAAAACAGGTACACATGCCTTGCATACTCTCAGGATACTGGAGCCTATGTGCACTATTGATTTGAAATCATTGTTTTCCAACTCCCCTAGATGGTTCCTTCATATCTGTCGACCCGGTTAAGGCGTCGGAAAACCACTTTTCGTCCTCTCAACTTCGTAAACAATACTAGTCGCGCAAGAAAACATCCTAGTATAGTTTAGTATACTGAGCTATATGGTTTAACCACGAAGCATTCATTATCTTTCTGGACAACATTATTAGGAAGATCTTCAGATAAAAGTGAGCTATTCAAGTCACTCCGTATTTGACTGATAGCTTATTCCATCGAACTTGATCTTAATCGTTTATTGTTTACCCTTCTTCTGTTGTGGTGAACGAGGACACAAATTGATTAATTACAGTATTAGTAAAATCCGATCAACATATAGTACATTCTTTATTTGCAAAATGTCAATCCATTGTCTTAAACTTGACTGTTCCTCTTGCGAATATCAGTCAATCGTCTCAAACTTCATTGTTCCTGCATTTCCATACAAATTGCTTATTGTTCCCGTTCTTTCTTCCTCGATCTTCTCAATCTTCTACTATCAGACATTCTATTCCTGACTAGCGTTTTATACTACTTATGTCGATATAAGTAGCACCCACCAAAGGAATGCATAATGATGAAGTTTCTAGTAGTTTTTGATAGTTCACTTATTATTCAGATAATCGTTCATGAACTGAATTGAAGAAAATCCTCTGTAAATATAATCTTAAAGTAACATATGTGATAATGAAATCTTTACGCTTGAATTTCTCGAAATTTACTAAAACCTGAAAGAAATTCTTAGAATCACTGAATACCATAGTGACTGGTAGGATTCCTCTAGGGCTTTCCTTTTCGTTGAATGTCATGAGTAAATGTTCTACTAGTATGACTTTGAATATGGAATCTGAGGACCTCCAGAGGGATAGTTTGAACAACAAGACCAGAGAAAAGACAAACGTATTGTCTTGAAGGGAATATTATGAAACATGTATAGTTTTTATGACCTAAGTCCTAGTATTTGTTGAATAAACCATGTATTCTTAGTATCTAATTTACAAATATCATAGTTCATTCACTTGTTATTGTTTGCTTGTATCTTCCCATTATTATTTAGGATTACCATTGATCAGTCTGTGATTGACATATGTGCATCCTATGTGAACTGTCTCGATATTCTCTTAAGTCACAACCTTTGTAAGCAAAGATGAATAGTGGTTAGCAGTGGAATCCAGGACACGCGTTTCGTCCTGTATCCCAGAGTTAATGTTCACTGCATAACCTGAAACCAGTATCGTTCACTTCAAACTCTTCCGCGTTATCCACTGAACTGGGTACGAGTCCCAAAGTGGACATGAACTCTGAGATGCAGGGACATCTAGCTGACGAGATTCAAATAGCACGAAACACGTATACTGAATTCCACCGCTAGCCATTATTCATCTTTGTTCATAAATATCATAGTTAATAAGCAATAATGGATAGTGGCTAGCAGTGGAATCCAGGAGGCGCGTTTCGTCCTATTCGGGACTCGTCAGCTGGATGTACCTGCATCTTAGAGTTGATGTTCACACTGGGACTCAAACCCAGTACCACTATCCATCATTAAGGTTGTCGAGGCATACGCACAGTATGCACATATGCCAATAACAGACTGATCAATTACAGTCTTAAACCTCAATGGGAAGATACAAGCCAAACAATACCAAGTGTATCATACTTAGTGTTTTCATTTAAGAAAAAACCCTCGATTTCTCTTTAACATTTGACCTTTTATCCGATAAAACAAAAAAATTATAAATATTTATGTTTCTTTTTTGTTTCGTAAATCATTCAACGTTTCATTCTATTTAGACTAGTACAATCAAAATGAAGAGAAATTCTCCAGGAAACGTTGACGGACGGAAGTGAAAAAACAAACAAATAAACAAACCATCATTTAGTTCAAATGAATTGATGCATGATTAACTAATTTATTGAATAAACCATAGGAACTCATTCATTCATTGTCTCATCTTAGATAAGAAGACTGAATGCCAGTATGATTATTTCATTTCTGCTTCGATGAATACAATTAGTGATGAACGAATCATGTAAATCAAATTAACGTGATAAATAGTTCAATTCATCTTAAAGAATTTTGGAAATAATAACAAACTGATCTTCCTAATTACAAAGATGGATAGTGGCTAGCAGTGGAATTCAGTTTGACTTGTCAGCTGAATGTACTTGCATCTCAGACTTGCTGTTCACTCTGAGGTTCGAACTCAGTAACGTTTGCTTTAAACACCATCACGTTATCCACTTAGCTACTGAGAGCAAAATAGTCACAAGCTTGTGCAATGAGGTAAAGTTCTAATTCATCAACGCTGAGATACATGTACATTCAAATGACGAATCCCTAATGGGACGTAATGCGCATCTTAGATTTCAGTGTTAGTTGCAATCCATTTTTAATTTTAATGCAACCGTTCGACTTTACAAAGTTCAAATGTAAGTTCACTTAGATTTCTGTTGACAGTCTTAAAAACTCATTACATATCCACTAAATTGCAATTAACATATATGTATTCTGTCACTTTGCACTTTATAGGTTGTAAATATTTATTTTCGAGTAATCTTTGGCTGAACTTGGAACTCGTCACTGTACATCAACCCCATTAATTATGAAAAGGCATTTGACAGTGTAGATAGGAGAACATTATGGAAACTTCTTCGACACTACGGAGTTCCTGAGAAGATGTCAATATTATCCGGAACTCATAGGACGGACTACAATGCAAAGTCGTGCATGGAGGAAAGCTGACAGATGCATTACAAGTAAGGACCGGAGTCAGACAAGCCTTTCTACTCTCTCCCTTCCTCTTTCTTCTGGTGGTCGACTGGATTATGAAGACTTCGATATCTGAGGGAAAACACGGCATACAATGGACAGCTCAGAATCAATTAGACGATTTGGACGTCGCAGATGACCTAACCCTCCTATCGCATACACATGAACAAATGCAGATAAAGACAGCCAGTGTAACAACAGTCTCTGCATCAGTAGGCCTCAACGTACACAAGGGGAAAACCAAGGTCCTCAAATTCAAAACGAAGAACTGCAATCCAATCACTCTTGATGGCGAAACTCTGGAAGGTGTAGAATCCTTCACATACCTGGGAAGCATCATCGATGAACAAGGAGGTTCAGATGCAGACATAAAGGCGAGGATTGGCAAAGCAAGGGCTGCATTCTTACAATTGAAGAACATATGGAACTCAAAACAACTTTCAACCAATATCAAAGTGAGGATCTTCAACACTAACGTCAAGGCAGTTCTACTGTATGGAGCTGAAACTTGGAGAATTACAACAACCATCACCAAGAAAGTACAAGTATTTATAAATAGCTGTCTACGCAAGATACTCAACATCCATTGGCCAGATACCATCAGCAACAGCCTTATGTGGGAGATAACACACCAGCTTGCAGCTGAAGAAGAAATTAGGAAAAGACGATGGAAATGGATAGGACATACATTACGCGAATCGTCAAACTGCATCACGAGGCAAGCCCTAACCTGTAATCGTGAATGTAAGCGGAGAAGAGGAAGGCCAAAGAACACATTGCGTCGGATAATAGAAGCATATATGAAAAGGATGAATAACAACTGGAAGGAGCTGGGAAGAATTGCCAAGGACAGGGTTGTATGGAGAATGCTGGTGAGTGGCCTATGTTGCTTCACGAAGAGTAAAAGGCGTAAGTAAGTAAGTAAGTAAGTTTGGGTGAACTAACTAGTGTTTATCTGATAAAATAATACAGGTAGTGATAGTAGTAGTGGTCACAGTAGCATTAGTAGTAGTAGTAGTGGTGTTGGTAGTAGTAGTAGTAGTAGTAGTAGTAGTAGTAGTAGTAGTAGTAGTTGTAGTAGTAGTAGTCTTAGCGATAATATTGATAATAATCCCAATAGTGTTTGATTAAGTAACTATGATTAGTTATTTTATAACACTTGATTTTGATTGGTTAGTTCAATTTATCTTCACTGTGATTGGTCAATTGAATAATGATTCAATTTAACAAAACAAATCAAGGAGTGAATGGGATTTTTTTCCCCTTCAAAATATTAGTTTTTACAAAATATAATAAATGTTAAAGGTTAAAATTATTCACCATATACTGATTACAGTGTTAACTATCTAATCAAAATGTGAGTTCATCCATGTAATCTAATAACTTGAATTATTTAATGTAATGTATTACTGCTATTGTTAATGGCTTTATTCAATATTATGTTGTTTGGTACAATGCAGAACGCTCAACACTAAATATCTCAACTAATTTCGGTTCTGTACTTCTTGATCGACCATTGTGATAACTATTGAGTGGTCATTAGTTAGATGTTAACAATTTTGGACTCGAAATCTGCATAATTTACATTCTTTTCGATGTATATTACTAGGAACCACAATGTCTCTGATTGTGTTTTATTGTAACTTGTACAATGAAAAGTTGTAAACTTTCCATAAACGTTTTTGATTGAGATCATGAACCGATTGATGTTAGACCACCATTGATAACCTGAAAGCAATGGACGGCCATTTCGTCCTATTGTGGGACTCCTCACTAGTGCGCATCCACGATCCCGCTCGCGGGATTCGAACCTAGAACCATCGGTCTCCCGCGCAAACGCTTAACCTACTGGACCACTGAGCCGGCATCCAATGCATCCAGGTTTCCAGAGGTGGTCTAACAACAATCGGTTCATGATCTCTATCAAAAACTTAATAATCTCCACAACCCCCATACTAGTAATTTCCATAAACGTACCAGGATTGGTTTTGAGACTTATAGGCATAATGACGTATTAAAACAAACGAAAGAAACAGATATTTTCTGGAAATATCCAGATGACAGGAACAGGTAGCCTAGGTATAAAAGCAGGCCACCTTGAAATTAATTGCAGATATATTGTAATAGGTCTTGATTTTGTAATACTTTCAGAGTGACTACGATGATTTGTAGAGATTTTGTATAGCTTATTACTTTTTGATCATGGATATGATCCTGTATATGAACATTGTATCTTCAACATGTTGGAGAGTTTTAGAATATATTTGATTAAAAATTACAAGTTTTTTTAATAGTTTAACCAGATTCGTCAGTTCCCGATGAATCTCTTAATGGAGATTTCATTCGAAGAACTATACAAACCTGTAAGTATAATTATCAAACATTCTGAAAATCAAGTGGTCTAAAATGAGATTTTTTCTTTGAAAATTAGGTGAGTATGAAAAAAACTAAGCTTCATCATCATTATAAAACTATAATCATATCAATATAAATAGATTATTTATCTTTGATGAACTTCAAATGAAATGAAACATACACTTCACTTTGAAGCTCCTCAACAGTGGTTATCCACGATCCTACCTTACAAGATTCAAACCTAGGATTTAGTAGTCTCGAGAGCGAAGACGAAATCGCCTTCCGGTGCTTCCAGTTTTTCTATGGTAGACTAACTTTAATTGACTCATGAATTCAACTATTCAATTAAATGACAGTTAACGCTTGAATCAGAGAATCGAAGTAAAAAATTAAATAGAGTTCTTTTCAACGTAGTAAAACTAAACAGCGATAGTAGTCATAACTAAAATGTTCAAAATTCAATAGTAATGTGGTGAACATGAACATGAGTGCGGACAATCGAATGTATTTAAACACGAAGTTACTGAACATCCCACTAAAATCTGAGAGTCATATAGTAAATACTTTATTTGTCTCAAACTTGGCTGTTTCCTTGCAAATATCAGTCCGTCGTCTCAGATTTCATTGTTTCTACATCCTCATATCAATTGATTTCTAATCCCGTTTTTTCCTTCATGATCTTCTACTGAAATACATTCTATTCCTCACTATAGTTACATGCTACTTATATGAATATAAGTAGCTCATACAAAGTAATAATAATTTCTGGTTTATTTAAATGAACTTTTAATAATAATGACGAATACTACTTACAGATGTCTTATTTCATTAAGTATCTCTATTTAAAGTTTGTGCTGATGATGTCGTTCTAAAGAACAATGTAAGCTTCACGACCAAACCATCCAGCCCAGAGAATAAAAACTCTATCAAAATATTTATAAAATCAAACTGAATAGTTCTGTTGGATCCAAAAAAGTTAATATTCTGTATTGAAATGATTATTTAATCATTATATACATTAATAAAGTGAATAAAGGTAATTAATCAAAAGGAATTCGGTATTGAAACTGGATAATCCATTTGGATATGAAATTCAATTTTGTTATTTATCCAAAGATGAATAGTGACTAGCAATGGAATCTAGAACGTGTATTTCGTCCTATTTGGGACCCGTCAGCTCGATGTATCTCCATCCTGAGTTGATTTTGACTCTGAGACTTCAACTCAGTATCGTTCGCTTCATGTCTGAGATGCAGGTACATCCAGTTGGCGAGTTTCAAATAAAACGAAATGCGATTTCTGAATTCCACTGTTAGACACAATCCATCTTTGCCTATAAAGCTTGTGACTTAAGACAATATCGAAGCAGTCCTCATAGGATGCACATATTCTGATAAGACACTGATTAATTGCAGTCCTAAGTATCAATGGGAAGATTCAAGTAAAATAGTACCATTTGAATTTGTTATTTAATGATCATTTATTTAAACTTAGAAATACCATTCAAATGATCTAAGCATTAGAACATCTTACTTATTTCAAGTTATAGTAGTGTATTAACAACTAAGTGGAGAAGATCAATTTATTGTTGCTTGGCAAAAACTATAAAAATCAAACATTAAGTGCATCAGTATTGTGTTTTATCTATCTCATTATTCTTCTTATTTCGTACATGTTAATATTGATTGCTTTCTGACTATCTTTCTATTCTGCCCTTTGAGTCTACTTACTACCTAAATCCATCAAGATAAGTATTATACACCACATTATTGGAACTTTTTGTATTTCAAACGATTGAATATACATCCACGACCACGCACCCCGTGAGACTCGAACCCAGAACCTAACAGCCTCGCGCCAGACGCTTAACCAACTAGACCACTGAGCCGGTATCCAACAGTGTTAATGTCTAATTTCAAACAATCCGCGAGATTGATAGTTCCTAGGTTTGAATATCGCGGGTTGCGTGATCGTGCATGCGCACTGTTGAAGAGTCCCATACTAGGACGAAACGGCCGTCCTGCGCTTCCAGGTTTTTCATGGTGGTCTAGCTTCAATTGACTGATGATTTCAATCAGTGAAATTTCTAAAATCTCCACAAAACTTCTTCCGATTAACTATACATTTGGTTTGAACACCTAATCACCGTATTTCTTTTTTGATAAATACAGTTATGTAATTTCGATCGCTTTCCAAAACATTTAGTGACAAGATTTTCGAATGTAATACTACGTTTTCAATGGTAGTCTAACATTAGTCGTTTCATGATCTCAATCAAAAACTTAATAATCTCCATAACCCCTATACTGATAGATACCATTTGCTCACTAGTGACTAGCTTCATGATGGAATGCTCGAAGTTCTAGTGAGAAGCCGTGATCAGTGGAGCTAATCAGTGTCGAGCAGAGACAGGTATCTACCTCATTACAATAGAAGATGGTCGCGCAATTTCATGGATTAGTTGATGTTAGACACTAACACCAGTGGATGCCGGCTCAGTGGTCCAGTAGGTTAAGTGTTCGCGCGCAAGACTAAAGGCCCTGGGTTCGAATCCCACCAGCGGGACCGTGGATGCACACTGTTGAGAAATCTTACAACAAGTGGATCTAGTTTAAAACTAACGTAGGAAGGATTTCAGTTCCCTGTCTACATGTAACTGAATACTGTCAGCTAAAATAATGAATTTTTTTTAAAACTCCATTTATTTAATGTGGATTAAAGTTCAACGAGATATCAAGTTACTAATTCTAATGAAGGCATTGAAATGTAGTTGGATATTACTTAACTTCAATATGATATATTAGAACTGACAATATCATGTTGATTACCATTAAACAATTACACTGTCATTAGTTGAATTCATGAGTTATTAAAGCTAGAAAATCTGAAAGCATTGGACGGCCATTTCGTCCTAGCATGTGACTCCTCAACAATGCACATCTACGATCTAGTCCGTGGGATTCGAACCCTGGACATTTTTGATAGAGAAAGTTTAAACGGTAATGTTAAAATTTCAATTACTCAGATTGTTGCTTAACAAATTCCAAGAAGTTTTTGAGTCCCATTAAGCACTTGTGCACTGTTGACTGTTTACTCTTGTTTCTTTGTGATGTTTGTACACAATAAGACTGCATTATATAAATTTGATTATTTATATTACCTTTGTACTTGATTTGTTTCATAACGTTCAGATATAAACCGTGCACTATTCATTCACATGTACCACGAGAAATCATCTCATTGAATGTAACTATTCAAATCTATCATTTCATTGAACTGCTTTTACAAGTTCCTAAAACTTCACAAATTCGATTATGCAGGAAACAGTGTAAAATAGCTGTATCTCAATAAACCGAAGTGCTGATAAATAATCACCGTACTTAAAATCAGTCAATATTAGAGTGAACAATCGTTTTTTTTTTTGTAACTTCATCGTTTATTGTGTATGACATAAGTCAAAATAAGACATTCTAGTGAACTTCCCTATTAATAATAGTTTACCCACATGTTCCATTCAAGTGTTGTACAATTGTAGGATGTCAAGTGATTTATCAGAAAGACTATAAATTATGAACAAACCAATCATGTAAGAGATAGGAGGTCACTGATTTTGGCGCGAAATTCATTCATCCATTTGTTGAAATAGAGTTTTGTTATTAAAGCTGATGTCAGTTCATGATGAAAACTCTAAATCTAAGTCTTAACCTTAATCATCAACTATAAATTATGATTATAAGTTCTCACACTGGTTTAAAACCCTCATTTGGTCCAAGTTATTAGGTGGATACTCTCAAGATCACTCTAGGTTCGTCCAATGGTCGTCCATGAACTATAGTCTCATCGAATTATCTGATCCCCAAGCCTTATTATTATGTCATCCATTGAAAGCTACTGTAGATTGTTTATTCCATCAATACATTATATAATCTGTCATTGTATTGATTCACTTATATCTTTTAAATTGTTTTCCTTCTAAGTTGCTGATAAACTTGAATTTTTTAG